TCCGTAGCTCGGCTGTATCCTCATCTGCTGCAGCGAGCCTCTGCCCTGCCTTAGAAAGGTTTTGTCATACTTTATAAGTGCTTTTAAAAAGTAGGAGAGAGCTGAAGAACACTGTGAAAGTAAAAATCAATGCAAGTGCTATAACCTTTTGTTTAGCTGACCTAAAAGATCCTAATTCTGTCAAGCTCTAATATTCTTCTGATACACTGTGAGGCGGATGATTATAAAATCTGTGGGATTCCTTTTTTCTTTTTCCCATGAGTTTGCCATTCGGTGGAACATATTTTTAGAACCTCCTAATTACCGTGATTTCCTGGTGGCCAAATCAAGTTTGGAGCTCTGTGGAAACCTTTCCCAAGCTGTGTTTCCTGTCGCGTTGGTCGGAAGCTGCTTCTTCCTCCAGATGCTGCTTTAGTCACTGGAGTATGGACTTACATGGGCGATTATTTTTATTCTGATATTTGTTTCAGCTTATTCTGTATTTTCCAAGGATCTCAAGTAAGCAATTTGTTTGTTCAGAGGGTGTTCCAAGGTAAGCCAACTTGTTGAAACTGCTTATTGGGCAACTGAAAAAATAATTTCTCTACACTGGCGAAATCTCTGCTTTTCTTCTTGACTAGATTGCTTCTGGGCTAATTAGAGTGCTCATATTGTGATGTAATCTATAAAACCACTTAGAAATTATCAAGGAATGTATATAATCGTTTTTACTGACTGATTTTTTTAAATGAGGAAATACTTTGATAATTTTAGTAAAATATCTCCATGAAAATGCGACCTTTAGAGAGTTGTGAAATGATAAATCTCATTTGGAATAATGGACGTTTCTTCCAAGAGAGATGATCTTTCCGTCACCAAATGCAGTGATTTCCTGACTTCACATTCTAGTGAATCAGGGCCTTTGGATCAAAAAAAAGAAAGTACTTTGTAAAGAGACTGTTTAGAAACAATTAAATCTTGTCGTTTTCACTTGTTTTCACTCCTGTTTAGAAGAAAGACTGTGCGCCTAATTCATGCATCTTACAAATTTTTTTCAAGTTTTGCCTACAGTCTCTCCTCACTTACCAGCAAAGTGTAGTGTGAGAGTGCTCTGAACTTTCCCCTCTTTTTATCAAAGTGTACTCTAAATGCTGTCAAGAATGATTTAAATATTTTTGAGAAGTGCTGCCTTCTTTGAAGCGCTCCCCGCTGACTTGTCTTGCTTTGATATTTTTACTTTAAAGGGGATATAATGAGGCAGTTTCAAGTCTAGATTCCTAAGTTGGAATGCACTTCAAGAGTAACTTGGCTGGCCGTGTCTTCTGTTGCTGGTTTTTGTGTTTATATCGTTCTGATTTTTGAAGGCTGTCAGTTGTTGGGCCAGTAACCAGCTGGCTAACGGGTTTTGACGGTCTCGGGCAATATTCTTGTAGCCAAATTACGACGTTACAGCCTTGACGGGTGGGCAGCAAGATGGAAAAAGAACTGTTTGGCTTCAAGGGTGGCAGCTGATGAGTCGGGCTCTCCCTGGAGGCTGGAGGGGTGGGCAGGCAGCCCGCGGTGTATGAAGGGGAACGTGGCCAGGGGATCAAGGGAAGGGATTTATCCTCCCACCCCACTCTCAGCATGTCTACCTGCCGTGTTCAGTTTTGGGCCCTCCAGTAGAGGAGGAACATGAAGAACCTGGACCGAGTGCAGTGAGGGGCTGCGTGAGACTTTCGTGTCTTTGGTGAAAGCAAACATCCCCGTAAGTAATGCTTGCGTACGTTGCATGGTCTTGTTGAATAAGTCTACGAGAACCAGATGAAATATAGAGGAGAGGGGAAAACCAGCATTATGTCTGAGCTCTAGTTTTTGTGTTACTCTTGTGTTTTTCCCTCCCTTGAAGTATCCCTGAGTGTATCTGTTCTAATGAGAACTATAAGGTAACATAATAAATTAATTGAGGGACAGTAAGCCAAATGTATAACAGTATGAAAGTCCAATTTGACATCTTTCTAAGGTCTGATGGCTGTGTTAGCAACCTAAACAAGCAGTTTTTTCAGTTGCTGAGGGTTTTCTTGTAGTTATTCTTCTAATTTATTTTATTTTTAGCCATGCTTAATCAGGAGATCTGCTGTGCGTTACTGGAAAATAATTTAAAGTGCAACATGGCCTCTTAGCTTGTTGGCTGGACAGAAATTCTAGCTGCTGCAGCAGAATTTTAATTTGTGGGAAGTGTTGGTCAGACATGTGAATAATCGCAGAAAATGGTGTCCCTTGCACTTCAGGACTAGGCGTACAAGCTATTGTAATTTGTTCCTTGGAGTTTGGATTCTTCTTAAGATACAGGAGGGGAGGTTTTCCCAGAAAGAAAAGTTCAGTTGTAAATAAAAATATTGTATGAAGTCATAAAGAAATAATCTACCTTGAAGTCCTGCCTTTAATAAATTAATGTTGCAGTAGGAATACAGTGTCTGGTTAGCACAGCTTCTGGCTGCAGCGGGGTGTCGGAAATGCAAACTGAGATGTGAAAACATGGGTGTTGTACCAAATGCTAATATTGTACTCCTAGTCTTGTCTCGATTTCTGAGCGTGTCAGGTACCGGTAATGTACGTAAGAATATGTCTGTGGACATGCACAGCCTAGGAGGGTATATGGGTGATACTTCTGTCCTTCTTAGCACTCCTTCAGTGCTGGCTCTACTCAGTGTTTGATAAACACGTAAGACTGCACTTGGACTCTGGACATAATTCTGAATAGCTTTGTAAAAGAAACAATATATCCCTTTTTTTTCTTGTTTAGCTTTAACCATTAGCTTCATCTAGTCATCCTTAGCCTTTCTGACAACAAACAGAAGCCCCACATGTAGCAGTTTGGTTTTGCTTAGCCAAGCAGCTTTTATTTTACCTGGCAGAGCGTGAAATTGTGCAGCAAGGTCCTTGATGTTAACTCTCTCTAACTGGAGTACAAGCCAGTGACAGCTCTTCAGCTCGAGTATTTGGAGTTTCTTTAGAATATGTCAGTGCAGCAGGCAGCTGTTACTATTTACCTTGGGCCAGTGGCAGTTTCAATAGTTAACAGGACGTTTTAGGCAAAATGGAAATAAAAAATGAGGATGCAGTACTAAGAAATATATGCATCAGTCTTACATGTTGTTTGGATACTGCCTCTGTTCTGGGGTTAATAATATCCTGAAGTGCCAAGACAGAGTGCAAAACTGTCAGAATATGTTACGAGAAAGACAGGATATTTCTGTTGTCAGTGAGAGCCGCTGGCCTTTATTATTACAATTGAATAGCTTTTCTGCATCATACGCAATGTTATTAATAATGGCTCATCATTCACCACTGTAGTAAAGGAGTTGCTCCAAGGAATTACAGAGTCAGCGTACACAGGCAGTGTAATTGATAATAAAGATATGATAACTTAAAGGAAGATGCTTTCTTTATTATACCCTCATGTTTTACTTTTGAAATCTAGTTTAAGAAAAAGATTTCAGCTTGTTTACTGATGTTTTAATGGATATTTGCTATGTCAGTCCAGCTTTATGGCTACTTCTGGCAGCTATCATGGCTCAGTTGCTTCTGTATATGATTTGTGACATGGATGCAGGCAACAGAGTGAATTACTGCTCTCTGATGTTTTTGCCTGGCTTACTAAAACATCCAGTGCATTTGGATAATAATCTCCATAACGGGAAATGCTTGGTGATGAAATTCCTTATTTTTATGTTAATGGTATTCTACATTTTCCCTGGAAGACTGACATGACGCTTGTCATAGAACACCTTGCTCATAGTCTAGCTGTGTCTGTCTCAGGTGTGAAAGCATGGACTTACTTTACCCAACAGTATTTGTGGAACTTCCCTTAATGGGTAGAACAGCCCAGCAAATTCTCTCTTTTTTTTTTTTTTCGTAAGCAGAGAGCTTGTGAGACTGGTTTAGCAAAATGCACAGAAGACTCTGAGAGGAAGGATTCCACTTTATGTATTCCTTCTAATTTATTTTTTTTCTAAAGCATATTCTAATAGTGGTCTTGCTAGAGTTAGTACTTCAATAGCTCCATCTTTTTATTCTTCCCTAAACAGTGTGATTGTCTATTTTGTACATCCTTGGCCAGTTGGCAACTCCTGTAGGGCAAAACAGGAGAAGGAGGAGTTTGTTGGATAATACTCAGTCTAATACTTTTTCTGCTGTAGAAGGAAAGAGGAACTGCTGGAGACGTGGTGCAGATAACGTATGAGCAAATGTGGTTGTTGCTGTGTGTCTGTACGAGCTGGCCCTTTCTGCTTGGCGTCCTATTAGTAACTCAGGGCGGCTGGCTCTGCTTTTTCCAGTGTCAGTATCAGCAGCATCCTCTGGCACGTTCTTTGCTGCTGCGCACAGAGAAGACCTTGTACACTGATGGCCGTGACTGTGCGGCGGTGTCACTGAAAACAGTTCCCTTGCCCTGCTTAGGCCGACGTCACAGCTTCTGGAGATATGTACCTGCACTGCACGTAGGATATTCTTCACAGGAGTTTTCCAGTCTGTCTGGAGGCTGACAAAACCAGAATCTCACACGCATGCACACACATAGATTTCTGTGTATTTCTATGTACCTGCATAGAAACGTACCTACGTTCTTCTCACTTGTGGTGCTGCAACATTCAAATTAAAAGTTTTACTTTTGTGTATTTTAGGTATGTACGATAGCAGAAGTATCATTATCTGGTAGTGCTTTTTTTTTGGCAGAATTCTGAAATCCCCGTTACTGATGGACACTGCTTTCACAGGTGTTAAACTGTATAAATATACAGTTCAAGAACTCTGCATCTTGCCTCAAGATAAATAGATGTGGCATCACTTTAATGTGAAAGTTACGCTGCCTTACCCTCTCAGTTTTAAAATACAGTTTCAAAGCCTTCTTTTATAGCAGCCTGTGTTAAGAGTCTGTAATAACAGTCTGCCAGTATTGAACTGGTTCAGTAGCTTTTAAATTCTGAGCGTCAGGGGGATACACATGCAATATTTTATTTGTTGATTTGTTTTACACTCAGCTGAGCTAGATGCTGAACATGCACAGAAGGTTCTGGATATGGAGCACACCCAGCAGATGAAGCTAAAGGAACGTCAGAAGTTCTTTGAAGAAGCCTTCCAGCAGGACATGGAGCAATACCTTTCTACAGGATACTTGCAGATAGCAGAGAGGCGAGGTAAGTTTTAAAATAACTTCTGTGTCATCCAAAAATAACTTCTGCGTAATCCACAAACAATGTGGGGGACATTGCTGAGGGGTCAGAGTCACCAGCAGTTCTAATACGTACAGGTGAAGCATTGCAGTGTCTGAATTCTTCCTCGGTGGAGCTGGAACCTCAGATAAGCTCTTTAAACAAACTTTGGGTTCTGGGGGAACTAGAGCCCTTAGAAAATCGGTCAGGCTCTCTGCTGGTTGTCTTGAGGAAATGTTAAAGCGCTGCAGTACACCTAGAAGAGCACTTTTCTCTGCAGCTGAAGAGTGCACCCATATCTAAAGGTACAAATGGAGGTAGCTGCTTCAGTCCACTGGAGTTCCAAAGCCTGGGACTGTCACCTGGCAGGAGAATGTTAAAAGTGCAGGTGAAATCTCAGTGTTGTATTTCAAAACAGTTTCCAGCTGGCAGCTCTTCCCACTGTGTGTAACGTACAGCATGAATAGGACACTGGAGATGAGATTAAACTCTCTCCGTATTACGAGATGACTCAGAAGTCTGGCATCTCCCGACTAGGGAAAGCACAAGAGTGCTGTAGACACTTCCGTGTGGGAAGGATCCGTCTGTTGGGCCAAAATGCAGGGACTGCAGGACCAGAAAGCAAGCAAGCGGGAGACGGCATCGCTCACGCAGCACGACAGAATTGTAGAGGCTCCGTCCCTGTGCCGAGCCCGGTTCTGCTGGTATCTGTCATGTCAGAGCGAGGAATACAATCCAACATGTAGCTGTTAAATTTAGATAAAATGTTAAACTGTTCATTGTAATATTTGATGTTGTAGATGCAGCAAATGGACTTAAATCCAAGTTTTGCTTGTTCCGTGTTTACACGGTTTATTTTTCAAGGAAAAAGACGCTCATCCAAGTATTTAATTTGGTTGCGAACTGTCAGTATTATATTGACAATAATAAGGAATTTGCTTGAGTTGTTAATGTTAAATGCCCAAGATGAGAGAAGATATTGGGCGTCAGCCTAGGTTTTGCATACTGCTGTCATTTATGCGGCTGATGGAGTGAGGAAGAAGGGTGACTGCTCTCTGTGAAAGCCCTGCTGAATTTTCATGCCCCTCCGTGTATTGGCATCTAGTGATTCTGTGCTTAAATGTGGTTGTCTTTCTCTAAAAAATCTTCTAGTTGAGAGAACTGGCACGGAGCGTTGCGAAATGGAAAGTTCCAATCTTTGCCCCCGAGCCTCATCCTGGCGTATTTCTTACGATGCAATTGCTATAAATATTGTTGCTAAAAATACAGAAATGGTAACGGGCATCAGCTTCCCGACCAAGACGGCGGAGAGCACGCTTGGATTGGGGCTGAGATTGCTGCAGAGCAGCTCCTGGGCGGGGGGGGTCTGTCCACATCTAGTTTAATTATTACTAATGCAGACAGTTGTAGCAGCCGGTGAAGCCTTTATAGGCAATAACATCCTGTGGCCGACTGTGGGTTTGCTCACGGCACTGTTTTTACTGCAGAACCGATCGGAAGTATGTCTTCCATGGAGGTGAACGTGGACATGCTGGAGCAGATGGACCTGATGGACATGTCTGACCAAGAAGCACTCGATGTCTTTTTAAACTCAGGAGGCGAAGACAATAACATGCTTTCTCCTATGCTGGGTATGGTTCTAGTAATGACCATGTGCTTAGCCGTAAAGCGATGGAATTGCTCCATTTTGTTGTATTCAGTGATGTCATCTTAGAAACTGTTACACGTTCGATTGAGTATTGTTCATTAGTGGTTTTCAAACCATTTAGATCTGGTTGCAGTATGAGAGAGCTTGCTGAAAAACTTCCTTGTCTTTTCTGGACTGTCTCTTTTTTTCATGTAGCATTGTGGTCTGTTTGTAAGTGTGGACAGGTGACATGTTACTGCCTTTAAGTTTCTCTAGATGAAGTTAATAGAGGATATTTTAACAAAGATCAACAGAAAGTTGGGGTAGTTAGGATTTTAAGACCACTTTCTTAGAATTTGTCCAGAATTTTGGCATTTCAAAGTAAATTTGGACCGGTTGGACAGCGTACAAGCTTCAAAGAGAGACACAATTCAACATAGCAGCCTGTATGTATGGAACATGGCAGTATTCTGGAAGCTTCTAGATAGTCAGGCTGATACTGCACTCTTCTCTGTTAGTTAAATTGGATTAAATTAATCTTACTCCAAAATTTTGTTTATGTGTTCCGATACACAAAACCAGCTTTACATTTTGGGCAAATTGCAGCATGACGAGGGATCTGCTTATAGCAGGAAATTTAGTAATACTGGATACTTTTATCCACCAGGGAATAATAATTTCTTAATCAAAACCTTGTTTTAGTACTCAGATGCCTTTTCCCAAAAGAAATTAAGTTTTCTTGAAGCTCCTTTAGATGTAGTTAGATTTCTTTTGAAAATACAGGCTGAAATGCTTTTATGAAAGTACTTACAGGGAGGAAACAGTGTGCTTTAAATCCTATATTTTGGGACACATAAAGAAAAATGTTACTAATATCTTGGGGTAATCTTCTTCCTCCTTGTATATAAAGATGATTATTACCTGCTGCGAGCATGGAAAGTTTACAGAAAGTAGGCAAGGCCTACTAAAGGTTTTCAGTTTTTATTGCAAAAACTGAATTCAGGTGGCTGGTTTTGGGGGAGGGGCATCCAGCTCGTGCGTTACTGAAGTTGATCATCGTTTGAACACACAAGTAATTACAGAATCTGGGACCGTTTCCCCTTTGCTGGGTCTTTGGATGGACACAGTGTTACTGGATTAGCTAAGGAAGTGTAGAAACTACTTGGTGTGGTTATTTTTTCCTAAATTGATGTATTATTAGCCGTTGGAAGAGCTATAGTGTTGATTTTGTGCTGCCATGTAAGTATCATACTCAGAAAAAGGAGTTGGCTTAAAGAGAACTCTCTGTTTTGCTGTCCGTGGAGAACGGGGCTGGTCAGGGCAAGATGCATTTCACAATTTCACTGAACGGCCACAGGTAAGTTAGTTTAGTAATGGCTAAAAAGGAGAATTGGCTCAAGACACTGAAGCAGTTTCAAATTTGTCTCCGATAAATGTTGCCAGCTGAAGTCATTTGTTTTGCATCATTTCATGACAGTAACTTGAATTGAAAAATTGACTCTGCCACCCCAGAAAACTCCTCCTCTGTGTGTGGTGTGTAATGCAACCAACTGCCTGCGGTGTGCACAGCAGAGAGAGGTGTCTTCAGAAACATCTTCCACGTGTCCCTGGTGTCCAGGGTAAATGGGTGTACAGCTCGGGGCACCTGCTGCATGTCCTGGACCGATGCAGGGGGTTGGAGCCACAGGGTGCTTCCAGTCCAGGCTCTATTTGGCACATCGCGCAGAAAGATTGTTTAGATGTTTCCCTATTTTTCCTTCCTTCCTTACTGCCAGGAAGTGTCCAGAGAAGAGGGCCTAAGCTAGTTTTGAAATCTGAACTTAAACGCTACGCACCACCAGAAGCAGATTAAAGCCAGCCCGTGGCTCGTATTTGAGATCAGCTTCAGAAAAGGCAAAAGGCAGCCCTGTGTTTTGGGGAGGGCGTTTGGCAAAAGCAGCCCAACGGCCTGAACATAACTCGTTTAACCCCCGCTGAGCTCGGATCATACTGGACTTCTCCGTTCACTCGCTGAGCCACAGCTTGATTGTCGTTGTTGTCGTTTTTTTCTTCCAACTCTCAGGGCCTGACTCCAACACCTATGTGAGCGAGATCAGTCTCCAGGTGCCGAGCCAGTCGGAATTACGACAGAAACTGTCTTCGCTGTCGTCAACCTGCACCGATTCCGCCAGCCAGGACGCAAGCGAGGGAGAGTCTCCGGTCGTCCAGTCTGATGAAGAGGAGGTTCAAGTGGACACTGCTCTCGCTGCTGTAACTGAAAGAAAGGCGCCTTCAGATGTTAGTGACGAAAGTGACTCTCAAACGATTTGAATCTTAAAACCATATCCTTTAAGAATGACTTCTGAATGAATGAACAAGTGAATGAAGAGCTTGCCTGTGTAACAGTTTGCTAACCAAGCGTTAACAGTCAGATCTTTCTACTTAGTAATACTGCCTTTTTACAGAATTGCCAGTCATGTCGAGGTTGGTTTTTAAAAAAGACAAAACAAAAAAAAATGCCTAAAGCACACACACTTTACCAGTAGTCTTGGGGCTCAGGGGAGCAGTAAAACTGTTGTATATACTATGTATAAGAGAATTAAAGGGGAAAAGATACAAGTTATTTGACCACTAACCTTTAAATGGCTGATGGGTAATACGTAGATTTGATGTGTAATACTGAACCCAGATTGTTCCTTGCATGTTTTCAGCTGCTGCAAATGAAGATTTAAGATCCAAACCAAAATGAAAAGTTATTTTCTACTCTTTCCTACCTACTGTCTGCCTACTGCCTTTGTCTACTACTGCAGCAGCATCTACTCTCTCACACTTCTTATCCAGGACCAACTTAGTTGTCATAGATGTTAAAAAAAAAAAAAAAAAAATGAAAAGGAGGAGATGCATACCGAAATGTTACACTCCTCGTGGAGCAGGTATCTTAGCATTGTATAAACTTACTCCTCTTTCAAGATAAAATAAAGTATTTCTATCCCAAACATGTCTTTTACTTGCTTACCCAAATATTTTCTCCATGACAGTGAATAGAGACTAATCACACACCGAAAAAAAAAAAAAAAAAAAAAGGTTATTTATACCGAGCACCAGTGTAATTTACTTTTCTATGGTAACACCTGTTTGACTACACTGATGCAAGCCAGTGATTTAAGGGAAATAAACCTGAATAAATTATAAATTGTGTACATTTGATAACCCTTAGAACCTGTAGTCATCCTTGTCTTACTGACGTTTTATTCTTTCTTTTTTGCTCTCCGAGCTTGCGAGTCTGACTGTGCCTAACATCTGTTCCTTGTCGAGTCTCACGCTCTGTTCGCAGGGATCTGCTCCCCTCCGAGAAGGCTCCTGGCTCCCGCTCTTCGTGCACGGAGGGAAGGAATAATCGGAACCAGCGTAAGTAAAAAGGACGAGCCGCGAGGTAGATCGCTTCCAGAGCTGGTGGTTGGCAAGAGGCATCTCCCACTGCTCACCAGCTGGAACTGGCTGCTTTCCTTAAGGAATTTCTCTCTCTCCTCTGTTTCCTGACCCCTCGGTGGGACATGCAAGCTAGAAGCTCGCCACTTACAATTAGCTGTTTACAAGGCAGTTATACAGCTAACGAGCCATCTGTTGCTTGATTTTTTTTTTTCCTGCAGGCACTGACTTTTACTTAGTCGCTTTCCAGAAGACAGACAAAAATGTCAAAAAAAGTTGTTTTTTTTTTTATTAAACCTCGTAGTACAAACCTGGAAGGTAAACAAAAAAACCCCAAACCTGGCAATAAACAACATGAAGTCTTTCCTTACAAGGAAAGAGAGCAGAGCAGCGCTAATAAATTAAATGTCAAACTGTAAGCCATAGTCAGAAGTTTACTGTCAAGAGGGAAAAGTACACAGCAAGGCCATAAAAACCAGACAACCACATTTGAAAACACTTGACTCGGTTTATGTTATTGTTAAATATTCCAAAACAGTTCAGTCTTCTGCAACAACAACCAACAAATTGTATCATAGGACTTTCCTGACAGTCACCACTGGCAAGCTCAGTGCAATATGGGTAGCTACGGTATTGTTGAATTCAATTACGAAACAAAACAGTTTGTGAAAACATTTTCCCTTTTTTATTCCACACATACTGTACACACAACCAGAAAAGGGCAACAGCTACTCCATTATTATTTTTTGTTGTTGTTCAGTGATGTAAGCAGCACTTATAAATGTTACAAGAAAAACCCTGTAAGCATCCAATCCAACCGATGAAGAAAGTGAAACGTAAGGCTTTTCTTCATCTTGTCTCTTTGCCATCCCTCCCCCCACCCCAAGAAAAGGCTCAAGTATTTAAAAAAATTTACAGGCATATGTACAAAAGGTGTGATTTTTTTTTTTCTTTTGTTACAACATGAAGAGAAAAAAATAGACAAGATGAAAGCAAATGCATTTTCACATTCAAAAGAAATACGCAGACCTGCTAGTGGCTCTAAATGTGATCATATAATGAAACAAATTCAAAACAAATTAATGCTCGACTGTGTAAAGGTGTGAAAAACAGCAGTGGAATGGAAATGGAATGTTAGAAAGATTGCACGTCTATGACAAAAGAAGCACTTATGGCTTCAATCACTTTTTTTTTCTTTTTTTTTAAAGGATGCTATTGAAGGGTTTTTGATAAAGTAGCCAACAGCACCAAAAAATAACAGAATGGATTTCCTAATGAAATCAGGCACAGTTTTCCCTCACGTGACTCCTCAAGGCAGGCAGTCTTTTTTCCTCCTTTTTTTTATTTTTTTTTTTTATTTTTAAGTTTTATTTTTCCCCCTCAAAACAGATGCATAGTGATGTGCTGGTAAAAGAGAACATACTCCAAATCTCCTCCTTTTGCCTACAGTTAGGAAACAAAGTCCGTCTTCAGCTGCCGTAACCTCCCAAAGAAAGTGTGTATTCTCCAATTTAAAAAATTACAAAACTCATCTTGCTGTGACAGAATAAAAGACAGCCAAAGTAAAGCAATTTCTTTCAAGTTTTTGTCTCCTATCCCTTTTCTCTCTAGAAAAATCTGCTCACATGACTGGAGAACAAATTATAAAACACATCAAACTTTAACCTATTCCAAAAATGGGTTAAAAGCCTTTCTTCACAGTTACCAAAAAGGCTTTTTTATTCTTCTCAGCCATAGGGACAATACAAATTAATATTTTATCAGCCCCTTGCCGGTTTTAAAACAGTGAACGTACGGCAGTTTAGAAAAATCAGACTGCTGTATCTATCTAGTCTAAGTACAAAAAAAAAAAAATTCAACAGTTTAATGCTAAAACAAAATTAGTTCTCTAAAACCAGAAGAAAATCTTCTTTAGAGCTAGTGCAAAGACAGCTTGTATTCTACAGCAAGTACTCCAAACTATGGTATAATAATTACAAAAAATATATATAAATTGACAAAATGAGAGTGTTGGCATCTTCAGGATTAACTTGAAGCACTTTTGGATGAGCTGGAGGATGAAAGCCTAGATGATGGCACATCGACTGTTGCTCTCTTACGAGGTCCTCTTTTTGGTGTAGGCTTGCTGATACAGTTCTCAATGCTGCCGTTTTTACCAGATACTTTTCCACAGATTTGATTGACCAGACTGATTATTTGTTCCTGTTCAGGAAGTGGGGGGGGAAACACAACAAAAAAAAACAAATTAGCATCTGCTCTTTCTCCAGGCGCTGCCCTTTTGACTGAAAGCACCTAACTGGGAAGGGGGAAAATAAATATAAATGTATATATTTGCAAGCTGTGCAGAAGCTCGGCTCGTATACCGCTTATTCCCAACCATGAGTTTTGTAAAAAGTACTGAGTAGCAGCAGCCCTTGCTAAAGTTTCTCCCCCCCCGCCGCCCTCCAAAATTAAAAAGCTGGTAATAGCAGAACTAGGAATATCTGAACTCTGAGGAAGAATGAAGTAGCTGGGCTGCGAGGTTACTTGGGTAAATGAGAAATGTTCTTCAGGTAGGTACCACTCAAAACCCACTGCTGAACAAAGTTATAAACACCACCATGAATTTAAATCTGCAGTAACGTTGCCCAAAATTAAAATCCAAGGAGAAGATTTCACTTTGTCCTTGAGACGCTGTTGTAAAACCACAGGATGTAAGGGACGGAATGATCTCAGCCCTACAGGAAACGCATGAAAATTTCTGAATAACTTCCTGAAACTCCTCAGTGTTTAGTGCAGTTTCACTCTCGTCTGGGTTTTTTAGGTTGTACTTATTTATACCCGACAGTACCTGGTACTGAACAGAGTCCACAGTTAAAAATGCACAAAGCTGCGAGGGCATGCGAGCTTCCTCCGCTTCACCCTGACCTTCTGTGTTTTTCCCCCCGTACCTCTACGCGTTCACCCCAGCCCGTTTCAGAAAGCCGCTTGTAGCAGCCCCCTGCTGTAAGAGTTTCGTTTCACCCACTGCTTTGCTCTCCGTAGCTGGGGCCACCAGCAAAGTGCTCCCCAGCCCCCCCCTCGCCCACAGTGGCCACTGGAGCTAACTGGGCGGGAGAGGAGGTGTTAATGGGACCGTCCTGTTCGCCCAGAGCCTGGGCACAGCCGGCTGGAGGTCTGTGATGAGTAACTCATGGTCACAGCCGCTTGAAGCTGTTACCGGACCTCTCATCTAGAAGGTTGCCTTAAAGGAGGTTCAGGCTAGACGGGAGTAAGCCAGCGCCAACTCCCAGTTCAACAGAGAGGAATTATCCCGAAGTGCAGAACTAACAGATCCAGGCAAGGTGTCACAGTTCTACTGCAGCAGCCCCGGGCACTAAATGGCTTCTCTGTTCTCTAACACCCACTCGTGCACTTCATGCTTCAGATTTCATCTCTGTAACCCTATTTCCCTCTATTCCTTTAACTTAGACCATAATAAAGCGTGTTCTTCCCACACCAAAAAAAAAAAAACCAAACCCAAACCACCCAAAATCAAGCTCAATCTCCTGAGGTGCTGGCAGAGTTACGCCTCCTCCGAAGCGTTCAGCTGTGTCGTACTGACCTCATCATACCGGTACATCATTTTTAGTCCCCGACAAGACTTCTGTTTTTCCACATGCCGCAGGGCACACTCCAAGCAGAAGACGACATTTTCATTTTCCTGTACAACCTATATAAAAAGGTGAAGCACAGTCAGCTCCAAACTGTAACCACGATATGCATGCGGTATCCAGTTACTGTCTGAATTATCAAAACTGGGGTCTACTACAAGTTGGTGGAAGAGAGGCATAAACAAGAAGCATTAGACATTGTGAGATGACTCAAAACCCCTAAGAAGAAGGAATCATAGAATCCTAGACTGGCCCAGGC